TTAAGAAAATGTGGTATCTATACACAATGGAATTTTATGCAGCCATGAAGAAGAACGAAATGTTATCATTCGCTGGTAAATGGATGGAATTGGAGAACATCATTCTGAGTGAGGTTAGCCTGGCCCAAAAGACCAAAAATCGTATGTTCTCCCTCATATGTGGACATTAGATCAAGGGCAAACACAACAAGGGGATTGGACTATGAGCACATGATATAAGCGAGAGCACACAAGGGAGGGGTGAGGATAGGTAAGACACCTAAAAAACTAGCTAGCATTTGTTGCCCTTAACGCAGAGAAACTAAAGCAGATACCTTAAAGCAACTGAGGCCAATAGGAAAAGGGACCAGGAACTAGAGAAAAGGTTAGAAAAAAAGAATTAACCTAGAAGGTAACACCCACGCACAGGAAATCAATGTGAGTCAATGCCCTGTACAGCTATCCTTATCTCAACCAACAAAAACTCTTGTTCCTTCCTATTATTGCTTATACTCTCTCTACAACAAGATTAGAAATAAGGGCAAAATAGTTTCTGCTAGGTATTGGGGGGGTGAGAGGGAGGGGGCGGAGTGGGTGGTAAGGGAGGGGGTGGGGGCAGGGGGAGAAATGAACCAATCCTTGTATGCACATATGAATAATAAAAGAAAAATGAAAAAAAAAAAAGAAAATGTGGTATCTATACACAATGGAATTTTATGCAGCCATGAAGAAGAATGAAATGTTATCATTCGCTGGTAACTGGATAGCATTGGAGAACATCATTCTGAGTGCGGTTAACCTGGCCCAAAAGACCAAAAATCGTATGTTCTCCCTCATATGTTGGCATTAGATCAAGGGCAAATACAACAATGGGATTAGACTATGAGCACATGAAAAAAGCAAGAGCACACAAGGGAGGGGTGAGGATAGGTAAGACACCTAAAAAATTAGCTAGAATTTGTTGCCCTCAATGCAGAGAAACTAAAGCAGATACCTTAAAAGCAACTGAGGCCTATAGGAAAGGGGAACAGGTACTAGAGAAAAGGTTAGATCAAAAAGAATTAACCTAGAAGGTAACACCCACGCACAGGAAATCAATGTGAGTCAATGCCCTGTATAGCTATCCTTATCTCAACCAGCAAAAACCCTTGTCCCTTCCTGTTATTGCTTATACTCTCTCTACAACAAAATAAGAAATAAGGGCAAAATAGTTTCTGCTGGGTATTGAGGGGGGGGAGAGGGAGGGGGCGGAGTGGGTGGTAAGGGAGGGGTGGGGGCAGGGGGAGAAATGACCCAAGCCTTGTATGCACATATGAATAATAAAAGAAAAAGAAAAAAAAATAAACACATTATGCTCTGTGCATAGATTGAATACATTGGATAGAATGAATAAACATAAACTATGTTTCAACAGAGATCTTTAAAACATACTGTGGACTAAATAGAGAAATTTACAGTAAGATTCACATAGCATAACATTTGTATAATTTTAAGCATTGAAAGCACTATTACATGTTGTTCACAAATTTCTAGTTTAATATTAAAAAAAAATATGGAACAGGGAAAACTCATGATTCTCTGTGTTGGCAGTTAACTCTGGAAAGGGGTGGTACATAGGAGTTAAAAGGAGGAAAAGGGAGATTTTTTGCCTCATTTCATAACGTTCTGCTTATTATATATGTAAAGACATAGAAATAAAAATAAAACCCACAAATTTTTGCTAAAAAAAATAGAAAGGCTGAAGGGATTTCCCATTTTACCCTTTCTTGCCCTTCCTTTCTGCCATTTACACGGGAACAACATAGGTCCCTCTGGAGGGTGCAGCAACAAGCGTACCATCTTGGAAAGCAGAGAACAATCCTCACTGGATACTAGGATCTGCCCAGAGGCCTTGCTCTGGACTTCCCAGCCTCCGGAATTAGATAAATAAATTTTTGGTTCTTTATAATTCCAATCTCTGCTATTTTGTTAGTTATAAGCCACAACAAACAGAATAAGACAAGGGGAAGTCATTATTTAGAGGTACAGCATTTCAAGTTTTGAAAGAGATGAAAGGAGGGTCTGGAGATGGAGTGGTTGGGTGGTGCTGGTTGTAAGACAGTGAATATGTTTGTACGACTGATCTTGCACTTAAAAGTGGTGATAAATTACTCTTTATCTTGACTTAAAGGTGGTTCTTGTCTTTTGCTTTGTTTTTGCTTTTGGAATTAGTGCAGAGCATGGAGCAAGGGTAAATCAGACCGTAAAGAGTCCAATTATCCAGAGTTCTAAAAAGTCAATAATAGCAGACAATCTCCCTCAGGTTGCCACGTGGGTTTTCTATGCACTGGTTCTCCAACCCCTCACTCGAAGGCCTCTACTTTCTATATGATACAGGTAAAGTTATCTCTTAAGGAAGAGGGAGGGCGGCCTGGAAAACTGATCATGATAAATGCTTGTGACCGTTGACGCTGTAATGGGCAGGAGCCCAGGTGATGTAGGAAATCACACATTTTCCAAACTCAAATAGTCTGTCAAAGATTTCTGGGCAGTTTTTGAGTGGGAGAAGCAGACTTTGAAATGTTGGCATTTCTGGGACATTGTGATGGATAGAGGAGACGAGATTGCATATTCAGGATTTGACACTCTTCCCGCAAATTCAGAACTTGTGACCACAGAGATGGATTTGAAATTCCAAGCATGTTCAACATTATATTCTAAGAAAGGTGTTTTTCTCTGTAATTTAATTTAATTTGTATGCTTCACAGGACTGGAAGATGGTAATTGTGAAAAATACAAGTTATATGGCTAGGTATGTTTTCTTTGTAACTCAGTTGCTAAGAGCTATGGTTTTGAATGTGTCCTTCAACGTTCATGTGTTGTAAACTTAATCATCTCCAATGCCACAGTATTGGGAGGTGGGTCCTAAAAAGAGGCAATTTGATCAAGAGGGCTCTGCCTCGTGAATGGATTAATATCACTCTTGTGGTGTAGATTAGTTATTGTGAGAGTGGATTTATTTTTTCAAATAATTTTGTTAGCCTATAATAGTTGTACAGGAGATACATTGTGGTATTTACATATGTGCTTATAATATGCCTTAGATGGATTCACCCCCTCCATTGTTCTCCCTCTTCCCTCCTCCCCACTTCTTAGAACAATTTCAACAGATTTCATTCTTCTATTTTCATATATGGATATAAAATACATCCACCACATTCCCCTTCATTCCCCCTTTTCCTTGTGATCACCCACCTCCTGTTAGTAGCCATCCCCAGAAAGACTTATTTTCTCCCTCCTGTCCTTCATTCTTTTTATTAAATATATATTGATAGTCTGGGGGGGTTGCATTGGTACTTCAGGTATGTATATATCATGCTTTAATCAAATTAAACCCCTCTCCTCTATTACTTACTCATTCTCTATCACCAAGCTCCCCTAATATTCAATAACTTATTATACAGTACATTATATTATGTTCACATATAGATGTGTTGTTTCAATATTTTTCATTCTCTAACATTTTCTTTATCTCTCCTGCCTTCTGTAACCCCCTCAGACAGACTCCCTAATACAATTTTGTTGTGAGTGAACTTGTTATAAAAGCCAGTTCAGCCTTCTCTTGCTCCCTTGATCTCTTGCTTTCTTGCCCTTCCACCTTCTGCCAAGGGAAGATATGGTGTAAGACCCTCGCCAGATGCTGGCACTACGCTCTTGGACTTCCCAATCTCCAGAACCATGAGCCAAATAAATCTCTGTTCTTTATAAATTGTCCCTTCTCCGGTATTCTGTCATAGGAGCAGAAAACAAAGTAGGAAACCAAGAAATACATTAAGCCAAAGACAAGCCCCATTTATGGTAATTGGCAAGCCTTGGTGAGCTGGTGACATCTCATATTCTTTACTCTGACTGAGTCATTGCCCATTAGGCTTCATCTTATAAATCACTTTCAAAGGCATACATCCTGAATTAATTTTTCTTAGATTGGCATCAATCTTGCTTGTCATTTGGCATTTTCTCAGATTCTCTCGAGCTGTCCACTTCATGATGAGAACAAAGGTGTTGGTTCTATATAGTAGTGATCCAGCAAGTTCTCTCTGGCTCTGCTCTAAGAATTTCAATCTGAAAATTTTTGTGAGTGTCAGGAACAGGCTTCTGATCCTATTCCCTGCCATGATTTCCATCAACCCACTGTGCAACTGCTCCTAGGTAGAGTCCCAGCACCCTTCACCCAGGAACCTTTGCAACACCACAAGGTAAAGTGAGGAAGCTGCAGCTTCTCCCTATCCCCAGAGAAGTCCCCGTCTTATGTTGAAGCTAGACGTCTGTTTGACAACTAAAAATATGCAGGAGTGTAGATCTGGGAGGGGCCTTTGTAGACTTCTAACTAATCACTGTACCTCATCATCTGACAACCAGACAGGGAAGGCTCCCTTCCCTGCTTGCTTGGTGGTATTTACTCAGTGTTTTCAACACTTTGCAGTTTCATCAGCCCAAAAGAAGTTCCAATCTCTTGGCTTTCTGACAACCTTCCATTACTGCCTTTCTGACTCATAGCCCTATTTCTCACTGATTTTGTGCCCTCATTCTCTAGACCACATTGAATGAAAAAGGGGGTTCATTCAGCCTCCATAAGGGTCCCTCATAAGGAGCAGGTCCACCCCACATGCTGGATCCCCAAATACTGCTTTCATTACAGGAAGGACAGGGGACCTGCTCCTAACAACTGCAGGTGCCCTCAGTATAGCCTCCCCACAGAGCGGCTTTTCCTGGCCTAGAACTAACTCCAGCATTGACATGGCTGAGGCCACATCTCCAGAAGGTTCCCAAGTTAGTAAACACCTAGCACTTAGGCCTTTCCCCTGGGCAATAAACTTATAGCTGGTTGCTAGGCTGGCCGATTCACCATTAACATCTGCTGGCTTCACCCTTGTACTACATAAATAATGCAGAAGACATGGGGGGTCCCTAGTTGCTATTTTATTTCCTAACTGAATTTCAGCTCCCCTGAAAGATATAAACTACACTGCTCCTTTAGGTACCTGGAGGGAGTTTTCCTTTCAGTTTCCAAGTAATCACACTGTCACCATCCTTTGTGGGGAACTCAGGAAATTCTATGTACCCCGTTCTCTCAGCAAACGCGTGGAACCTGAAAAGTGAGGGATGTTCAGAATTAGGCTGGTAGAGAGGTTTCTGCGCGTGCCTGTTAATCCTCCTAGGCCTGTGAATTTGTTCTTCTTGGTGCTAAGCATCTTGGTCTTTTGTTTTTGTTTCTGTTTCTTGATATGGCGGTCTCACTGTGTTGCCCAGGCTGGCCCTGAAACTCCCAGGCTCAAGCCATCCTCCTGCCTCAGCCTCTCAAGTAGCTGAGACTACAGGTATGCAGCACAACACCTAGTGCCATACATCTTAATCTTAACCATATTCACTGCTTTCCCTGTAGTTCGGCTTGTCAATTCCCACAAGCAAAGACAGAGTATGAGAAGTGAGACTGGTTTGGGATTTTAAGTGATGATATGTCTTTTCATTAGAGAGTAATTAGCTCAATCAAATGGTATTTCTTGATCCTGGGAAAAGATACTGTATTTATTCTCTTGTTCCTAGGGCACCATCATATCAACACAGTCTGGATGAGCCAGAACTCTAATGTGGGACCCTAACAGCAGCCATCAGCACAGTGGGCTCAGTGTTGAAAGCTGGTGACACTGGCAGCATTGATTAATTTGCTTATAGCCCAGAGGCCGCAGTCAACTGTAACTCAGCAGACACACACTTCCCAGGATTCAAGCTTAACTGGTAATGAAGGGAATTCCTGTGTGGGCGAACTTTCAGGACCCGCCTACTTAACATGCAGCCCAAGGAGCAGCAGCAGCACTGCCTGGGAGCTGGTCAGGGATACACGTTCCCAAGCTCCCACCGTGACCTGCAGTCAGAATATGTACTCTAAAGAGATCGCCAGGAAATTCATGTGCACAGTATAGCTTGACAAGTGCCTGCTGGTGTGGTATAGGGTGACGGTCTAAGTCACTCTCTTGAAGCCCTTCAACTAATCCAAAAAGTCAGTAACAGCTTGACATCAGTTTCTGATTAGCAGACAATGTTTTGGGTAATGCTAAGAGTTCCACCTCTGTTGTTACTCATTCAACTCAAAGAGAATCCTGCAGCATAGCTTGGAGTGGAAAGAGGAATGAACAAATGGCTCAAGAGGTCTAGGGGCTGTCTGGACTACAGAGGACCTCTGTCCTTAGAGGGTTTCAGATGAGACTGGAATAATGACTTGGTGGCAATGAACAAGTCAGCCTCGTTCCAGTGGCCCCTCATGAGGCCAGTGGTCTCTCAGCCTGGTTGTGCCCACCTTCTCTAGAAGCTTCATCCAAGGCAGAAATGGCCAGTTTCCATCTCCCCATGACCTCCTGGCAGGGCAAGGAGGGGAGACAGGTGAGGTCTGTCCTAGCAGGCCCTACACCTGAACACCAAGGCCTTCGTTCCCAGAATTTTCCATTCTTCTAATCTGAAGAACAGAACTGTAAGTCAAAATAAACCTTTTCTCTTTATAAATTGGTGTCTCAGTTATTTGTAATAGTTAACAGACTATCATACCACCCAAACAGATTGCAGCAGTTTCCAAGAGGTGGGGGCATACCAGGCCACCTAGAGCCACAAGGTCAGGAGGTTGAAGAGTGAGGCAGAAAGACAGGTAAGATCCTTTATTGTGGTTTTCTTTGGAAAGAACAGACAAAGCAAACAGGTTTAAGATTAGCTAATTTGAATAATTTCAGTGAGTTCAGTGGTGTAAGGCTGTCTCTAGTTATCTGGTATTGGCCTTGGGTGATCAGGGCAGAGGATAGAGATTCTGAGAGAGAGCTTGTGGGCTCTGGATTGGTCAGTTGCTATGAAAGGTGCATACCCAGGCCAGTCTTTTACTATCTCCAGGAATTGTTGACCCTGAGAAGGAAGTCTCTCCAGTGTCAGTATAGCTCCGTGATGTCCAAGCATCGAGATCACAGAACACAGAGGCATGGTTAATACATGATAGAGGGAAAAAGGTACATAGAGACCAAAAACTATGTGATAGGAGGGCAAGAACATAGTAATGGATTAGTTAAGAACACCACAAAGAATCCAAGATGTCGTGTAAGTGAATCACTCACTCTCTGTCACTCACGAGCGTACCTGCCATGGGTCTTGGCACTCAGATCCTTCAGGAAAGCTATAGTGGCTTCTCCTCTGGCGTTGAAGGACACTGTGCAGACAGGACATGGGATCTCCGAAGCCCTCTGCAGGAGAAGCTCCTTGGATTCTTCTGGGATGTCCCCCACCACAAAATAGTAAACGGATTCAATCTGCAAAACAGAGGCACCAATGGCTTAGCTCCCTGACGCACCCGAGCCTTACACTGGGCTCAGCAGCAATGCACTTTCCGCAGAACTTCTGAGGTTTGTTTGTTTAATGTGCAGAAAGAATAGCAGCCCTGCTCCGTGTTCTCTGAGGATATTGGGAGGCAAAGCCAGCCAGTGATGTATTCAGGAGGATACCTTGACAGAGGCAACATATTTTGGCAGATTTGGAGGACAGCTTCTTCTGGGACCACAAGTACATTTTACAGGTTATAAGGGTTATTTTCAAGTCAAGAAACCATATTTTGACCCAGCCACTGAGGGAAGAAAGTTTATTAGCTATCTCCCAAGTCAGGGCCAGAATACTACAGTGCAAATTCACACATCTCCAATATGAGGCAGAATGTAGAAAGGGGTGTATATTCCCAGTTGGTTCATCCTCTTGTCACATCCCACCAGGAAAACACACTCTTTGGGAGGTGTGGCTGTCCTTACTTTATGCAGGTGGTTATGAACTAGGACTTCCCACTACTTCCTGCCTCACAATGCCATGCCAGGCCAGGCCACGAGCAGAGTGGGAGAATGAGCAACCCAAGCCACCAGGACATACATACACACACACACACACACACACACACACACACACATACCCTTAAACCAGGGATTCTGGGAGATGCATAGCTGACCTAGGTGGGAGACAATCCCAAAATAAGTGCTCTCTGCCTCGTTTAGACAGCCATAAAACTGTAAAGCCCACAACAGGAGGCTGTGATGACTGTCCTCCCCCAAACTCAACAATACCACTCTTGCTCTTCCCCAGGCTTCCCCTGTGTTCATCTCCCCTGCCACTAATGAGTTCTGTGACCTTAGGAAAGTGACTTAGTTTCCATTTCTTCACTTTTTTTTAAAAGGAGACAGTGCAGTTCATTCTTTATGACTGAATTTGTATATATTTATATAATCTCAAAAAATGAAAACCCAAGGAGATCCAGGAAGACACATCACCTCAACCTGTCTTAGAACATTCTCATTGATTGTTTCCACACATAAGTAGGGGGAAGGCCCCAGTAAATAGATTGGGTTTTAGGGAATAAATAGGTTCCATCTGTTTAGGATTCATGACCCTCTTCCTATTTTAATCCCAAACCCTAAATACCTAAATATAGTCACTAAATGATCTTCCCTCCTTCAAGCCTGGGACTTAAACTCACTGGCAGAGAAAGGGGTAGACTCACAGTTGGTCCCCCAGTGACTTAAGAGTCTCTGCTCGCAGTAGACAGGGCAGATTGTATGCACAAGAGGGCAGGGACAGCATGGGTAGCCAAGAGCCCAGACGGGGAGTTAGGAGAAGGTGAGAGTGGGGGCTGAAGCCAGTCTTCTTCAGCAACACTCACCGGAGAGCTCCCATCTCCTCCTATGCCTCATTCCTGCAGCCATTTCAACACCAGCTCCCTGGCTTTAAAACAGATGTACTGGGAAGTAAAGAATGGGGAGTATTGTAACTTTCTTCAGCTAGCCACACAGCAGGCCAAAACATTCTCCAGATGACTTATTAGGTGACCAAACTGTTCTTCCAGCAAATGCATCTGTTTCCTCCTTTTCCTGGTAACACACACTACCTTGTGTGGGATGTACTAAATGGGCCCCCACTTGGCTGCACTGTAAGTCACAGAGCTTTCCAGCTGGATCTGTGCCCAAGGTTATCATGAAGGCTGAGCCATCCTGTCATAAACCTCTAAAATGAAATATGACCCAAGACAGGATTGCCATGGAGAATCTCCCAGGGTTGTGAAGTCAACAGAGAAGTGAGGACAGACAGCTCTAGGTGGTATTGGCAGCTTCTGACCTTCATCGCCCTTCCATGTCAAGCTTCTCTGCTCTAGCTATCGCCCAAGAACCTGAAATCCTTGAGCAGAAATGATTTCCTTCAAGATTTCATCAATCTAAAAATTGTCATGACCATTATTGAGTCAGAATTTCCTTCCCTTTAACTATAGCTTTATCAACTATTTATTAACTTCATTACTCAGCTTCTTAATTGTGTATGTTTTCAGTCAACTCTTGGTTATCCATGCTCAGAATTCATGGGGCATGCTTTATTCAGAGGCCATCTATTCCACCTCACTCTCCTATACACAGCCTTTCAGCCTCTCCTTTCTGCTCATGTAATGATATTTAGAAAAACAGAAAGGAAGATGAATATGCCACTTACCCCTATCTCCCCACAAATGGACAAAATGCCTCTTAAAGCAAAAAGGCATTCAGATTATTTATTTGAGATGATAAGCTAAAGTGACTTATTTTATTCAAACTCACAGCAGACCCTGGAATACAAATTATTGCTATCATGCCCAGTTTAAAGCTGAAGAAACAGGTTAATTGACTTGGCCTTATAGTTGGTATACCCAGGCTTCTGGCCTGTGATGAGATGGATATAAATCCCAGAACTATGAAATCAAGGCCATGGGGCAGAGAAGAGAATGAAGGAAGGCACTCTTTACACTTTCTGGGTTCCCTCATCACCCAAGGGTTCAGGCTTCTACACCCAGCATCATCACTGCTGACTAAAAGTTCGATGCAGGAGGTTGTGGAGCTTAAGGAAGATTCCTCATGGGAATCTTCATCCCTTAACCAGGACCTTCAAGCTCCTGGAGGAGAGGCCCACGCTTGAGGCTCAGTGACAGCTTCTAGGCCAGGAGCTGCTTCTCCACTGACCAGACAGATGATGTGCACTGAATTTGATAAAAATAATGCATGGGCTCCATTCAGCTTCTTTAGAGTGAGTCAAGGGCTCTCATTACTTTATACTATATAAAACAAGGTGGCATTACTCCATAAAACAGGGTGGCACCTTTGTATGTTCACTTGAAATGTCTCATTCTGTCTGGGCCATTTCTTCTGCAGCTTCACACAGTAAACTGCATTCTTCCCAGTCAAGGAGGCCTTGACATCTTCCCAGCTGCAACTTGGGGAGGAAAAGAAGAAACAGAAGGAGAGCAGCTGCTTCTACCCTGACTTCCTTCTGCCTTAGCCTGCTGAAGCCTGCTTTCTCACCCCCAAAGCCTCCGGGTACAAAAATCTCCACTCTCCAAGGAACAAAAATGAAAGTCCAGAAGAATAGCAGCAAGAGGGCTAGAAAAAAATTTCTCTCTTGTTCTTCATTCAACTTTGAATACTGCAATATTTTTGGCTGACTCCAGACCCTGGGATCCAACCTTCAGATCCTCCCTGTACCTGTGCAGCCCTTTCCTGGTTTGAGCCTTTTCGATTTTCTGATTCCCTCCACGGTGGTCAGCACTCCTCATGATCTATACTAAGTCAATTCTACTTGGCTACCAGATCCTTCCTAAGACCTTTGACCATCACTGACTTTGTGGCCTTTCAGGCTGCAGGATACTTGTTCCAAATCATCATATCCACCAGAGTCCAACAAGGTTTAGCAAATTCACCTGCCCAATACTGTGCAGACCACCTCCCTTCAATTAAAACACTCAAATATGTGACATACCTTGGAGATGGGAATCCCTTGGACCCACATTTAGCTACTAAGCTCAAGCATATCAACATTATTTCCTTTCTATTCCTTCAATGTCCAACAAACATTTATAGAGCCCTTGTTAGACATTAGGTACACACAATTGAAATGTTTGGTGCCTCTCCAAACTACTACAAGGAAGCAAGTGAGGTGCCAGCTCCATGGACTGATGGGCCAGGCCTTCAGCTTAGGATCCAGAAAAACAGGCTCCTATGGGATCATGCAATCCTGTCTCTAAACTCACACACTTAGTTTTCCAGTGAATATGATTTAAAAAACTAAACATATGTATGCTATGAGGTAGTTGGAAGAGAGGCTGAGAGAACAAAAACAGACAGGTGCCTTGTAAGCAGATGGCCTTCTGAAAGCAGAAAAAAAGCCCTTCTGAGGCAGCCTAGACCACGGCTGCCCGGAAAAACAGCCTTCTCCCTCCCACAAATCCCTGCATCTGGCGTTAGCAGACCTTCCAGGATCTCCTGGCATATTGCCTCTCCTCATAAAGACCAGGGGAGCTACTAACTTGAAAAAGTCATATATCCTGAAACCAGAGGATACTGAAGAGCGGAAACCCTGTGCTGGCCAGCACAGCTGGGTTGTGAGGATGTCAACCCCTTACCTGCCAGACATTCCTCAACAGCCCACAGACTGCCCTTCCAGGTCCTTTCCCACAGGAATCAAAAATAATTCGTCCATCAGTAGTGCTCAAGTGCTATTATTTAAAGAGACCCCCATATTCTTCCTTGGCTCTTCTTAGACTCCAAAGATCACCTTCAGTCATCCATCCTTGTTCAGTCTTCCAGGTCTACTGTGGTTACAAAGCCAGGTCCTGAAGGAAGCCACTGGCCTTGACACAAATAACAGACTTGAATGTTAATTTTTGGACACAAGGTAATGCCCACTTTTTTGGTTCCTTTTAGGACCTACTTGTGCAAGGAGATTTTAATTCAAAGCAGGTTGTCATTATAGGAAGTCTGTATGTTTACATATACTGATCACAAAGTTTCTTAAGCCTTTTTCATTCCCTGCAGACTGCAGCTACATGATGGATTTGAAACTCACTGGGGTGTACGTGACTGGCGCAGAGCAGAGAAGCAGGCCCTTAGGGGACCCTATTTCCTCTCCCTCCCCTGCAAGCATGCTTTTTAAAAAAAACTCATAAAATATAGGGCATGGCATTTTATACATGAGGCAGTTGCTTTTACTAGACTTTTCCTTGGGACCACCCTCAGATAAAGATTGTAGATGGAGGAACACTGTGGTCTGTATTTTCTTCGAATTTGCCATATGCCACAGTCTCTTCTCAGGAGCTTTCAGGTTGTGTTTGAAGATCAGTGCTTGTGAACTTCTTTCTTGGTTCTTCACCTTCTGTGGGACTCCCCTGGAGCTCACTGAATTGTTCCATATTTTCTATACTTTGGATGAACCAAAGAGAAAGGAGAAACACAAACCAGAGGGAAATAAAGAAGAAAGGCAAGGTCACTGGAAGGTCTTGTAGCCACATCAGGTGACCGGAGTCAACTGAACCAACACAGTCATGTTCATAAAGAAAGAGCATGGAGGGGGAGGGGGAAGAGAAAAAAGAAAGAGCACACTTGTATGTGCACACACACACGTGCACACATCCAAAGCCTAAGGACATGTTCCATTTCTTGAATGCTTATTAAGGTGTCCAGACACTTGGAATTTTACAGATGTTGAAATAAGCTTGAAGGGCCAAAGAACAAAGTGGCTTATATTCAGTTCTCCCTAATGGAAAACATTTGCTTGTCTGGCTTTGTAAGGAAAAACAATGTGTTTCCAATTTCAAACCATCACCCTCAGTATTGATAAACATAGGCTGGTGGCAGCTGTGAGGGCTGTCCTTTAAAGATGCCAGTACATGGCCTCTTTGTGTAAGAAAGGACTTCTGAATGCAGTCAGGCAAAGCTTAACGCCTACAGAAACCCCAGACTTTCCGAGCAAAGCAAGCATCTGTATCCCAAAGGCATGCAGACCTACACCCAGCTGGGGAGGTGAGGGTGTTTAAGGGACCTCTCCTGCCCAGAGTACTTCCTCACCAGCTTGCCACTGCTCTGAACAGTCCTATCACTAGAGTCACTCACAGAAGCACTCACCCTGTGGCTGAAAGAGACATGAAACACCACCATTTAATCACTTCTTCCATGTAAAGCTTTATTTCCAGAAGGTCTCTATTAAAATACATATGTCATTACATTAGCACTCAAAAATGACCAGACTTATCAAAGTGGGTATACTTTACCTCTTAAAAAAGCACATGAAAGATCCATATATGAATAAGAAGAACTGGGAAAGATTTAGTACATGGGGGCTAGGGAAACCCTATTTCCTCACCCTCGGTGTTCTTTGAGGGTCTTCCAACCTCCCTCTTCTCCACCATGAAAAACAAGTTAGTTTCTCTAATTGAAAGGAGGGCAAGAGTGGAATTAATGTGTTAGAGATGCCCAACAATGGCCTCACTCCTTGTCTTTTCTTGATGCTCAGTAGAAGTGAGCAGTACTTGTCTCTCCCAGCACTGGCTACATAAGGTTCTGCCCTGAGCCCCAGTCAGCCCAAAGAGAACCTAGCTAGGCTCAGGAAACAGGTATTAGGGGGTCTCACTTTGGTTGGCACCAAAGCTGCCATTTTGATCTCCATCTGGGACCTGGAGTCTGTTTCTCAATTAGTTACAAATTCAGGGATGAATAGGATGATGACCTCTGGGGTTCTTCAATGCCAATGATGGGGCCTTTGTGGGATGCTCCTGGGAGGGGACCCAGGTTAGCTGAAAGGCAGTGTGAAGATAATAAGTGTGCAGAGTCTGGCTTGAGGCCACTTTGGTGATCTGGGCCAGTCAAAGATAGACACTTACAGTTTGATCTTTCCCAGCTTCCATCAGAGCGTCCAAACATCTAACTCTGTGCATAGTCATTGGTTTAAAAGTCAGTTTCTCAAGCCAACTGATGGCAGCTGCTATGGATTGTTCCGTCACAGTAGTGGCATGATCCCGCCACTTCATGGGCTCTTGAGAGACCCTGAAAGGAATCACATGGAGCAGTCACTGGGCAGTGGTCAATGCCACTCAAGGAGCACCAATCCTTAGTCTCACAGTCATGAGCATCAAGCTAACATCAATGTAATGAGAAAGGAGACACAGGAACAGTCCCCCAAAAGTCACCAATAAAATGTGTGAGCTAGCTTGTTAGGGAAAAAGTGCTTTCTGAATGCATTGCATAATTCCAAAGCACATTATCTTCCATAAACTGTAGTAAAATAATGTTTACATGAGAACAACAACAAAAGAAATCCTAAAAGGTATAAACATTAACAAGTGCTTTAAAAATACTGTGAGAAGGTGTTTTCACAAACAGGTTTATGTCAAAATATCTATCAACAAAATTACAATATTAAGATTTGCAAATTAGTAGAGATTTTATTGCCCGAAAATTTTATTTCTAATTCTTTCATGACATTGTTTACATTGTCCTGAAAGATGCCCATCAGCTACCTTTTTTTTCGGTTTAAAAAGTATATTGTTTGGAGTTTGGCACTGCAGTAGTTTTTAAATCCTGAGAAAATCTGATTAAACTATTTAGAGATTGAAAATGATGGATGAATCCCCCAACCTCAAAAACAAGAGCCATTTGAATTTATCTGTGTTTAAAATTGCAAATAAACTGGCCCAAATGGTCCCTATAGCCCTCCTCAACAGGCAGAGCTGGCTCACAATTGTGTGTGTCTTCTCTGGGCTGAGAAATCTGACTGAGTTGCATATATGCTAGAATCAACTTCCCATGAAAACAAAAGCTCTGAAGGCCTTAGCACTAAATTCCTTTAAGAATATACCGGAATAGGCTCTGAACTAGAACATAATTAAGTGTCATCCCCATGTTGTTCTCTATTGAGCTAAAAGTTTTTTATTTGAAAAAGAAAACTCCATTTGGTAGGTGTCCCCCCACCTTCTGATCCAGATGTTTCTTGTCAGGGAGGTACAACCACTATCCCAGATGAGAAATTATCACTGACATCCAAATTCTCATGAATCCAAGAATCCATAAATAATTGATCATGAAAACTCTAAAATACAGGAAATTCTATAACGGCAGCCAGCTGTTGCTCTGATTAAAGGGGTCAACTCACAGAAAAGGTCAATTTCAGTTGCAAATTCAGTCTGGAAAAATAGTAAAATTTGTGGCCTTGAAGTTCGTTATCCAAGCTAAAGTCTAAAATGAACAAAGATGTCTATCTATCTATCTGTCTATAGATAAAGAGATATATGTATATATATAATTTGAATATAGAATTCATATTCTCATATTTTGACCTTCCCTTGCATTGAAGAAAAGTATGTTTCTAAATCTCTTTTAATGTGAAAACTAAGATGCTGTGTACAAAGCAGATACAAGTTTCCTAAGATTTATTATTCACTGTGGAATTTCTGCTGAAATTGAACATTCTAGGAAATCATAAGATAGCACCTCCTTTCTCACCATAGTGAACTGTATTAGCTATGCTTCTTAACTCCAAATACGTGCAAACTGGAATGAAATTTCAGTGAAATAAATGCCGCCTCTGGGCACTCACCATATGATATTGAACTTGGTTATGTGAGCCACCTGCTCCTGGAAGACCATTGTCAGAGCGCCTTGGCACAGATTAATCTCCCCTTTCAGAATGTCACTGAAATCCAGCACTATGGTGATGCACTGTTCCAAGATGACACCAAAAATCTGCCGGCTTTTGCTGGTGAGCCAATCCATCCGCTGCTTGTAACACTCCACAGCTTGTGTCAAACATTCCACAAACTGATAGATCAGCTCTGATTTAGCTGTCAGCTTGATGAAAATAAAAGTAAAAAATGAAAACAATATGAGAGTACCAAAAATAAGTCACTGGAACCACAGTGATACCACCAACAATGGTGCATTAAAAACAATTCTATAAATGAGCTTCCAAGCCTCCCAGGATCCAAGAGGAAGAGTTCTGGTCTTACAACAGAGAAACTCTTCGATGATTCCTCACAGAAGAAAATATCTATTCAAAATACAGCACTCTTTAAAAAAAAATCTTCCAGATTGTGTCTTATTTTTATAGCTATAGATTGCCAGAAAATGTCATGGGGGTACTTTTAAGAAATTAAGCAGAAGAATAGGAGGTCATCAAAAGCAGATGGAAAAAAATAAGTCTCACTAAAGGTTTTCCTAACTACATCATGCCAAAACATTCCTGAGAATGTTTCACAGCATGCCAGCACATCTGCCTGGCTCCCTTTAAGGGACCAGCCCAGTTCTCAATCTCCCACTCATAATCTTTGTCTCTGTGTCTTCTGTCTCCCAGGCCAAGATCCCCCATACCTGGGTCACCCAGTGACAGGGACTTGCAGGCTATTTCTCATATGAATAAATAATTGGGTGGAGGGAGAGGGAATAAAGGAGAGTGATGGGGGGGTAAATTCAACTATGATACATTGTAAGAACTTTTGTAAATGTCACAATGTACCCCCAGTACAACAATAATAGAATTTAAAAAAGAAAAAAAGAAAGAAAGAAAGAATCCATCCTTCAAATAGATCAAGCACAGTTTGTAAGGCCTTTTAAAGTATAGGAAGGTAGAAGATATAGAAAAAATTACACCCCACTTTGTGAGAAACCAAATTTTAAAAGATCTGGTATTTTAGAAAAACAAAACAAAACAAAACTTTAACAACTCCTAGAACATACCCATACATCTAAAATGGTAAGGAAATGTGCTTTCTGAATGGATCACATAATTCCACATTTTTATGGCTCAGCTGTTTACATTTCTTCCCTTGCCCTTCCCCATGTCTCTCTCAAGCTCATTTTTCATGGTCCAGAATCCTTTTTCTGCTGCTTCTCGTGGCCCCATAAGGCACAATTCTTAACTCTCTCACCAGCTTCCACCACCTGTACTACAACACAGGAGTCATGTGGGATCAGATCACAGGGGATGCGGACTTAGGTGGTAAAGACAGGTGTTTTTAATAGTTCTGTAGTGATTTTAACACAGCTCAGTTTAAAAATAGACTTAGCAAACCAAATGAAAGTTTTCACAAAGATTCTTGCTTAGTTGGGGTCAGGTTTACTTTAAAAGGTAATTTAATTTTAAATAGAGTCAACCCTCCATATCCACAGGTTTAGCATCCTCAGGTTCAACCAACCTGGGATGGAAAATACTGAAAAACAAATTGCATCTGTACTGAATATACACAGACTTTTCTCTGCATTATTCCCTAAACAATAGCATTTACATTGCATTGGATACTATAATTCATCTAGAGATAATTGAAGATATACAAGAGGATATGCACAAGTTATTCAAATATTATGCTATGTTATATAAGGGACTTGAGTATTCCTGGATCTTGGTATCATCTCGGGGACTAGGATCCAATCCCCTAAATGGATGGAACAGTCCTTGGTGGTGCATGGATGCATCTTCATATGAACAAATATCTATATATATAGCCATGATGGAGCATGTGTCTCCTTCAGAGACTACTGTCATATTGCTTTTTCCCCTTATGTTCAAAGTAAAACAAAGTGTTGCTATGCAAATGTTTTCATCTCTGGTCAAGAGCTTTCTGTGCTAATCTTTTGCAGATCAAGGACTTCCCCAGCTTTCTTGGTCATGACTTTCATCATTGTACCAAAAGAAAACCTTCAACCTGAAACTTTGCATCCTCTGTGATCTGATGTGACCTTAGTATCTTGTCACAAGACCTGCCCATCTAGGGTATCATGACTTACGTTGTATATTCTGCCATCTTCTGCTCTACAGAACTGTGGAAATAGGCCATCAGCATACCGAGAAGCCACAAGTCTCCCCAGGGAAGTCACGTAATCTGCATTTTATAAAGATAATCCAAATGGCATATTACCAAATTTCTTATTTTTATTTCTAAATATTTTTCTCTGACACCATTCAAAGCATATCCCCAGTGACATCAACAATTTGTGATGCTTTGTATTCTTTGCATTTGTATTTGCACACACTAAATCATTGTTTCGAGGTACCATGAAAAATGTGACTATTTATGATGTGTGTAGACTTTTAACACACAAATGAATAAGGAAGAAGAAAAGAAATCATTTCTCTGGTTTCCAAGTTCTTTTATCCAGAATGATTAAGCAGAGGTCAAAAAAGACAAATGGAAATTATGTTTAATTCCTGAAAATTTTATTGAAGAGTTGGACTTAGTTTTCAGAACTTTAAAAATTCAACTTAGATGCCATCATTTGTCCTTTCAAGTGGATTCTGACTGAGTGAAATGAAGCAAACAATAGGTTCAGAGTAGCCAAGCACAATGTCAGAACTACAAAATTTCATTCTCATCAGAGAATATATGCATATGCTCATATGCTCTTCATGTATCCTTTGCACACACACACTTATTGAGCACCCACTATGCACTAAGTACAGAGCTATCTGATGGGAATATAATGCTAACTAAAACATATTCTTACTCCGTTGTGAAACTGCCAGAAGGTCACAGAGGCTTCAAGGATGAACCATGACTTGTCAGGGAAGATGAGGTAAGGTTTCTCAGAGACGTTCTTATAATGATAATGTGTTATCATTATCATCCCAAAGGTAAGAATAGACACTCGAATTCCATCAGCAATAACCCACTCAGAAGATCTCTTAAATGCTAAAATCTCTATAGCCATGATTTCAAATTCTTAACTGAAATGATGTAAAGGCTTCCAATCACCAGAAATATTCTCTTTGTCAGTGACATTTATCTAGACTCAGGAGAGGACTGTTTTTTCAAGGCTTGAAAGAGGTAAGTCTATGGAAGGCTCAATAAGCTGTACTGCCAATTGAAATGCAAGACATTATGAGTTCTGTATCCAATGACAGTAAAGTAGATTTTACTGGCTAGCCCTCACATAATGATAAACTCTAGATAAAATTACAAAAACAACTCTCTGAAGGCATTAGAGGGCAGGCAGAAACTGGAGTAGCATTCATCTTTGAATGTCTTCTTTGAAAGGAAGACACTGGTGTGATGTGCATTTATTTAGCAGGAGAAATTAACTGCCTGCTAGAATAAAAATCAGCTCTCAATTTATCAACTGTTTATAGGAAACAAATTGTGGACTATCCATACAATGAAGTATTGATACATGCTAAAACATGGATGAACTCTAAAGAAATTATGTGAAGTGAAAGAAGTTAGTCATGAAAGACCACATATTATGAATTCCATTTGTATGAAATGTCCAGAGCAAGCAAATCTAGAGAGACAGAAAGTAGATTGCTTAGAGTTTGGGGTGGGGGAGTAGAGAGCTAAAGAGTCCAGAGTGGTTTCTTTTTGAGGTGATGAAACTGTTCTAAAGTTCACTATAGTAAAGTTTGCACATATCTGTAAGTATAGTAAAAACCACTGTGCTTAGAGCCCATAGCTCACACCTGTAATCCTAGCTACTCAGGAGGCTGAGATAAGGAGGATCATTGTTTGAACCCAACCTGGGCAAACAGTTCTGTGAGACCCTATCTTGAAAAACCCATCACAAAAAAAAGGGCTGGTGGAGTGGCTCAAGGTGTATGCCCTGAGTACAAACCCCAGTACAGCAAAAACAATGACAACAATAACAACAACAAAACTCCACTAAATTGTACACTTCAAATGGGTGAATAGTGCATGAATTAAATCTAAATAAAGTTATTATCTTTAAAAAATCAATTTTAAAATGGGAAAAACCAGCTTTCTTAGGAAAATATAATACAACCCAAGGTCTCTACAAATATCCATACTGTCCAGCATAAAATAAAAAAAATTATCACATACACAAAGAAAAGGAAAACTGTGTCAAAAGAAAAATCAGTCAATAAAACCTACCCCAAGATAAACTAAATGTTGGAAATAGCAGAATATGGCTCCAACATACTTATATTATGGGCATTTTATATCTAAATATATGCATATTATAAATATTTATATTATAAACATTATAAGTGTGTGGTTTTTTTCTTTTATTATTCATATGTGCATACAAGGGTTGGTTCATTTCTCCCCCCTGCCCCCACCCCCTCCCTTACCACCCACTCCACCCCTTCCTCTCCCCTCTCCTCAATACCCAGGAGAAACTATTTTGCCCTTATTTCTAATTTTGTTGTAGAGAGAGTATAAGCAATAACAGGAAGGGACAAGGGTTTTTGCTGGTTGAGATAAGGATGGCTATACAAGGCATTGGGATAAGAAAAATATGATTTTAGTAAGTGAAATATTATGAGTATGGATGATTTCTCTGATGAAAAATAGAAGTCAGAAGGCAACAGGTTTACATGTTTAAAGGCAAAAAGATAACAAATCTCAACCAATAATTCTATATCCAGAAAAAACATCCTTTAAGAATAAAGGTATTTAGTTGTAATACACTTGTGCATGGAAGTAATGATAGGAATCTCTCTGTATAGCTATCCTTATCTCACCTAGCAAAACCACTTTGTTTTTCTTATTATTGCTTATGTCTTCTCTTCAACAAAATTAGAGAAAAGGGCAGAACAGGTTCTGCCTGCAAGTGGGATGGGGGGGAAGAGGGGGCAGGGGGAGAAATGGCCCAAACAATGTATGCACATGTGAATAAATGAATAAAAAAAGAATAAAGGTATGGGGGGAGGGAGATGTGAGAGAAGGGTGGAAGGCTGGAGTCTAACCAAGGTACTTTGTGAGCATATATGGAAACGTCACAGTGAAATTCCCCTATACAGCCAATCTATGCTAATAATTTTTATATACAACTAAAATAAGTCTAGGCAATGCCACTAGTGATGACTTTGTAAGAAGAATATTAAGGTAATTAAAAGAAAATTGTACCCTTAAAAAAAGAATGAGGGTAAGGCCTTCAGTGTTTAAAAACATGGATGAAATGTACTTTTTCCCCTTCAACCCCTAAGTATAACTAAAAATCACGACTATATATAAAGCAATATAAGAATAATATAAAATGTATAAAGTAGGAGACAGATTGACTAGGAGAAAAACTACAGTAAAACCTCTATCTCAACTAACAAAGGCTGAGTGGAAAGCTTAGATTTCTAACCTTGCCAGGCTATAATAAAGTGCCCTCCAAATGCCTGCCAGGGTGATATCAAAGAAGACACAGTGGGGATGAAGGGCTTTCACTGCTGCCAATCAGTAAGAAGTTTCCACACCAGCATATCAGTGAGGACAATATAGGTGACCTATATTTCCTGTATCACCTGACATTAATGAAGCATCCTTTGCCTCTCTCATTGAGGTAGAGTCAAAGAATCCCTAGCAAGGAGTCAAGACATTTCCATCACTCAAAAGTAATAAGACCTCTCATCCAGTGTCAGTCAAGGCTACATGGAGAGCAAAAAGAAAAAAAAAATATGACCCTCTCTTCTAGCCAGAGTAGTATCAAAGAAAATCTAGGGGGAAGTTAGAGCTACCACCACTGCTATCCTTTATAAGAATCTCCAATTCCTATGAATGTCAGCAGAGTCTGAAGGGAGAACCTGGACTTCTATCCCTATCTGACAACAATTATAGGGTATCTCCCTTTATCCACCAGAGCATTATCAGAAGAGGTCTGCTAGAATACAGAATTAAATAAGATCCAGAGGCTAATTACAAAAAAGAAACTGCCTTTGTTTCAGTAAAAAAAAAAAATCACTCATCATCCACAAAGCCAGCAATATCTCAACATAAAAAACAATTGTGTCAACACTGAGATGGCACAAATGTTAGAATGATCAGACAAGAACTTTTGTAAATGCCACAATGCCAACACCCAGCACAACAATAAAAAAGAATATATGAAATTTTAAAATGAATTGATTAAATGATAAAAAAATTTTAAACAAATCACAACAAAAACACTTTAAGAAGCAATTAAAAACATGTTTAAATGAATAAAAACATATAAAGTCTCAGAAAAGAAGCAAAAAATACATAGAAAAGCCAAATATAAATATTAGAAAAAAATATCTCATATGAGTAAGGGAGAAAAGATGAAAATGTATTCAAGTCATCAGGGAATAGCCCACCCTCCCCAGATTACAGAAATTATCACAACTTCTCAATAATAACCCTAAATGTAAATTGTCTTAATTCTCCAATTAAAAGACACAGACTGACTAATGGGTATATTTTTTTAAAAATCTAACTGCTGTCTACAAGAAGCATACTTCACTGGCAATGACACACACAGACTAAAAATGAAAAGATGGATAGTGATGTCACAAGGAGATAGAATTCAGCAACAAGACAGAGTAGCTATACTCATATCTGACAAGGCAAAACTGAAGCAAAAATTAGTCGATGATAAGTCACTACATATTGCTAAAGGGAAAAAAATCCATCAAGAAGATATAACAAATGTAGATATATATGTGCCAAATTTTGGGGCACCCAATTTCATAAAACAAATACTACTGAATGTAAACAAATAGGCAGATCCAGATACAATAATAGTGGGAAATTTCAATACCTCACTGTTATCACAAGATAGGTCATCTAGATAAAAGTTTAACAAAGAAACTTCAGAGTGAAATTGCACTATTGAGCAAATGAACTTAACAAATACATAATATTCCATCCAACAGCTATAGAATATTCATCCTTTTCAGCAGGCCATGAGACTTTTCCAAAATATATTACATCTTAGACCACAAACCAAGTCATAGTGAATATTAAAAAACTGAAATAATTTCTTGTATCCTATCAGTTCATAATGGCATAAAACTGGAAATCAACAAGAGAAGCTACAGAAATTATACAAACACACAGAGACAAAAAAAGACACTTTTGAAAGACCAATAGGTCATTGAAGAAATCAGGGAGGAAATTAAAAACTTCCTAGAAATGCAAGAACTCACTGACTCCATCAAAAGACCAAACTTGAGAATCATGGGCATCGAAGAAGGAAAAGAGGTACAAGCGAAAGGAATGCGTAATATATTCAACAAAATAATAACAGAAAATTTCCCAAATCTAGAGAAAGATATTCCCATACAGATGCAAGAGGCCTCCAGGACACCAAACAGACCAGATCAAAATAGAACTACTCCACGACATATCATCATTAAAACAACAAGTTCAGAAACTAAGGAAAGAATATTGAAGGCTGTAAGAGAGAAAAAACAAGTAACATACAAAGGTAAACCCATCAAAATCACAGCAGACTTCTCAACAGAAACATTAAAAGCAAGAAGAGCGTGGGGTGAGATCTTCCGGGCACTGAATGAAAATAACTTCAACCCCAGGATACTCTACCCAGCAAAGCTATCATTCAAAATAGATGGAGCAATAAAAGTCTTCCATGATAAGCAGAAACTAAAACAATATGTGACCACAAAGCCACCATTACAAAAGATTCTGCAAGGGATCCTGCACACAGAAAGTGACACCCAACTTAACCATGAAAAGGCAGGCAGCACCAAACCACAGGAAAAGAAAAAGCAAGACAGTAGAGAGTAACATCAAGTTAGGTACACACAATCAAACCTTCAAATAACTAAGACAACTAAATGGCAGGAATCACCACATACCTATCAGTACTAACACTTAATGTTAATGGACTTAATTCACCCATCAAAAGACACCGTTTGACAAAATGGATTAAAAAAGAAGATCCAACAATTTGTTGCTTACAGGAGACTCATCTCACCGACAGAAATAAGCATATGCTTAGGATGAAAGGCTGGAAGATTTACCAAGCCAATGGCCCCCGAAAACAGCAGGAGTAGCAATACTTATCTCTGACAAAGTAGACTTCAAACCTACATTGATCAAATGAGATAAAGAAGGACATTCCATACTAATAAAAGGGGAAATAGACCAAAAGGAAATAATAATCATCAATCTGTACGCACCCAATGTCAACGCACCCAATTTCATCAAACATACCCTGAAAGACCTAAAAGCATAAATGCCAACACAGTGGTTGTGGGAGACTTTAACACTCCATTATCATCAATAGATAGGTCATCCAAACAAAAACTCAATAAAGAAATCCAAGATCTAAAATATGCAATAGATCAAATGGACCTAGTTGATGTCTACAGAACATTTCATCCAACTTCTACACAATATACATTCTTCTCAGCAGCCCATGGAACCTTCTCCAAAATAGATCATATCCTAGGGCACAAAGCAAGCCTCAGCAAATATAAGAAAATAGAAATAATACCGTGCATACTATCTGACCACAATGCAGTAAAAGTAGAACTCAACAACAAAAGTAAAGACAAAAAACATGCAAACAGCTGGAAACTAAATAACTCATTACTTAATGAAGAATGGATCATCGATGAAATAAAAGAGGAAATTAAAAAGTTCCTGGAAGTCAATGAAAATGAAAACACAACCTACCGGAACCTATGGGACACAGCAAAGGCAGTCCTGAGAGGAAAGTTTATAGCCATGAGTGCATATATTAAAAAGACTGAAAGATCCCAAATCAATGACCTAATGATACATCTCAAACTCCTAGAAAAACAAGAACAAG